GTGCTTTTAAGGGAGAAGGGAATGACTAAGAGTCTAGTATGGTCACTGCCTCACTAATAGCAATGGCTGCTATTCGTTTGCTCATTTTTCCTTGGTCAAAAGTACAATTGGAAAATTATTGTGCTGTGGTTTAACTGTACATTTTTAAGTAACGGCCTTTGCAATATTATACTCCCTTCCTGCAACACGCACCAAACTGTTATCTAGATAACCTGTATCAAAGGCTCCTCTGTGACCATGTTCCATGGTGTAAAGTAGGGCTGTCAACATGTAGTTGACTACATGATGAACCAATAAGCCTGGGCTTATCAATTAATCCTGTTGACCCCCCCCCCCGCCCTGCTGCCTCTTTGTCTGAGGCAGCAGGGGGATGGAGGAGGTGGGAGACAGTGCCTGTGCAGAGCTGGCTTTTAAGCTGGCTCCCCACAAGCAGCAGATCCCACAGAGCCATCTGCCCTGCCCCAGGCTGTTGCCTCTGATAGGCAACAGCGCAGGGTGGGTGCAGGCAGGAGTCTACACATGAGGACCTGGCTTTTAACCCAGCTGTCTATGTGTGCAGGCTCCATGGAGCTTCCCACCACCCCCAGGGCAGGCCAGGGCAGGCAGGAGCCGGTGCTCAGGGGAGCAGACTTAAAAGCTAGCTCCCCACGAGCACTGGCTCCACAGAGCCGTCTCCTCCCCCTGACACCACAGGAGGCTGTCATGGATCAGCTCCTGTCCATGGCAGGCCCAGGCTCACCACAGTCAGAGGCTGCTCTGTGGGATGCTGGTGCAGCCTCTGTCTGCGGGGAGCACAGCCCCCAAAGACAGAGACTGCTGCCACCCCACACTGCTGCCTCTGATACAGAGGCCACAGTGCAGGGTGGCAGGAGGCTCTCCAGGAGTGAGGCTGGGAGCTCATTGGCTGCTGGCCCTGCCCCCGGGGACTATCAAATAATCAGGTAACCACTAAAAATTGATGTTAATCGATATCTAACATCTAGTGTAAAGATGCTGTGCCTTCATTTCTGTCTGCAAATTAAATTAACTGTTACCACTCAGCTAAGAAATTGCGTAGTCATCGTGTATATTTCGCTGCAAAAGGCTGTTCAGTGTACAGCGGCAATCCAAAAAGCCAACACAATACTAGGAACCATTAACTAAGGGAAGGTAATAAAACAAATATCATGATGCCACTATATAAATCCATAATATGCTCACACCTTGTGAGAAGTGTTATTTACTCTGCAAGAACTAGGCATCACCTGCTGAGAACTATAGGCAGCAGATGTAAAACAAGAAAAAGTTGGTTCTTCAAATATTGCATAGTCAGCCTGTGGTGTTCACTGCCATTTGATGTGAAGTTCAAAAGCAAAAATGGGCTCAAAAAGAATTAGATACATTCATGGAGTGTAGGTCTGGGCTCAAAAAAGAATTAGATGCATTCATGGAGTGTAGGTTTGTCAATAGTTATTAACCAATGTGGTCAGGGGTGCGACTTCATGCTCCCAAGTATCCCTCAGTCACCACCTATTGGAAGGTGAGACTGGATGACATGGAATGGATCACTTGATAATTGCTGGATTCTGTTCATTCACTCTGAAGTCTTCTGACACCAGTCACTGCCAGAAATCAGGATGTTGGCCTGACCCCGTGTGGCTGTTCTTACATCCTTTTGTAATAAGTCACTGCCAGAAATCAGGATGTTGGCCCGACCCCGAGTGACTGTTCTTACATCCTTTTGTAATATATCTCAATGATGAGATGCAGAATCACAAGATTTCTAAAAATGGCTTCTGAGAATGTAGTAATCCAGGACATGTGATTAAGTAAAAAATAAAACCTTTTATCTTCTGTTTCCTTTTGCTTCCTTCTCTCCCTTCTTTCATCCCTGCACCCTGCCATGAAAAGTCTGAATAAGTAAACATGGTCTGAGGAAGCAGACTCAGAGATGGAACGCCTGGCCACTGGGGTACCAGATGCAGTCGCAGTCCTCTAATACCTAATGGCCTGCACATCTCTAGGTGCAGCTTCCATATCAGTGGTCCTTTTGGACCGCATGTTCTAGAGCCTCTTTTTTTTCTCACCCCACTACATTGGATAGGTGCTGGTAGCGTCTGCCGCAAAGTCACTGTATCCCTTCCCCAGGACTGGGGCTACTATCATGCAGAGAGAAGCACATGGCAGACTTCTTCTGTGTAGGAATTAGAGGCGGGACTTTCTTAACAACCCATAGCCACCTCTTCACTGCCTGGTGATGTGGTACAGAGGGTATGTCTAGACTGAATCCCTCTGTTGGCAGAGGGATGCAGACTAGGCAGGTCGACATTGCAAACGAGGCAGGGATTTAAATATCTGGCACCTAATTTGCATTAAAATGGTTGCAGCGTTTTGCTGATTCGGCACTTTGTCGGAAAAAAGCGGCAGTCTAGAGGGGGATCTGTCGAGAAAGAAAGCCTTTTTCGACAGATCCTGTAAACCTGCTTGCAGGAGGCATAAGGGATCTGTCGAAAAAGGCTTTCTTTCTCGACAGATCCCCCTCTAGACTGCCGCTTTTTTCCGACAAAGTGCCGAATCAGCAAAACGCTGCAACCATTTTAATGCAAATTAGGTCCCGGATATTTAAATCCCTGCCTCGTTTGCAATGTCGACCTGCCTAGTCTGCATCCCTCTGCCAACAGAGGGATTCAGTCTAGACATACCCTCTGAGTCTAAATCTTTTTCCGCTTTCCCCACCCTTCTTTCCTTCCCCCGATGATTTCAGAACTTATCAAGATTTGAGGAAACTGGCTGCAGCTCTGGTTATCCAACCAGAAGAGGTGCAGGAAAAGTTGTACTGGCTGGTGGACACTTTAGTCTCTGCAGGGCTCTCTAGGGTAGTTCTTCCTATTAATGAGGCTATCCTGGAACTTGTCAAGATTTTATAGCAAATCTCTTCTTTTCTGCCTCTCTGTTGAAGGGGGCAACAGAAGATATGATCTCCCATCACAGGGATTTGAACACTTCTATAACCATCTTCCTCCAGGCTTTGTAATCAGCACTGCTGCTGATTAGAGAGACAGACATGGACACCCAGCTTCATCCCAAAAGGAAAAGAAGCAAAAAAGTTAATTCGTTGGAGGGGAATTCTTGTTTCACAGTAGGATCACACCTGGAGGTCATGAATCAGAAACTCTGCTGGGTCACTGTGGTTGCAGCCTATGGGATAATACTCTGAAATGCAAAGACAAGTTTCCTGATGGTCATAGCAGTGAACTCCTGCTTTGACCTGAGGAGAGCAAATCACTTGCCAAAACAGCATTGCAACTAAGCCTGGATGTGGCACGCTCTGCATCTGCCTATCTATACATGGTCTTCATCTTGGCTGCAGTCATCAGGTGTTCCCCAGAGGTGCTAAAAACTATTTGAGACCTTCCATTGGAAGGCCCTTCATGCTTTTCAGAGAAGACAAATGAGATAAAAGATTCAAGGATGACCCTTAAATCTTGGGGGATTTATACAGCAGCAAAAAGCAAACAGTTCTGCCCACAGGAGCCCCAACATTTTCAGCTCTTCTTGCTGCATGCCCAGAACCTGACCAAAAAGAGGAGCAATAGTTAATGAACAGAACAGGGCAAATTATCCAGTGATCCAAGGCATTAGTGAAAATATCGAATAGCATTAGACCCAGAACTGATCCCTGCAGAACCCCACTAGATCTGTTCTCCAAGTTTGACAACGAATCATTGATTACTACTCTAAGTGTGGTCTTACAGCTAGCCAAGCAGCCACCTTCTAGTAATTTCATCTAGACCACATGCCCTTAGTTTGCTTCTGAGAATGTCATGTGGGACTGTGAAAGAATCTTTTCTAAAATCAAGAAATATGATATGTTCATCTCTCCACCTTCCTCCATCCACTGGGCCAGTAACCCTATAAAGAAGGAAATTAGGTTCTTTAGCGTGATTTGTTTGACACATCCAACCTGACTAGTCCTTATAATTCCATTATTCTCCACATGCTTTCAAATTGATTTAGTAATTGTTCCAGTATCTTTCCAGGTGTCAAACTTAGGCTGACAGGTGTATAATTTCTCAGGTCCTCTTTGTTTCCCCTTTAACTGATACTGTGTTTGTCCTTCTCCAGTCTTTGGGAACATCCTCCATCTTCCATGTGTTCTCAGAGATCATTGCTCACAATTCTGAGGGTTTTTTTTCAGGTAGTTGCTTAATTACCCTCAGATGAATGTTCTCGTTCTACCAACTTAATATTGTTTGCTCTAAATATTGTCATATTTTGCCCCACATACATACCCACAGCTTATGAAAATAGAGCCACATCTTGAAGGAAATGGTATTTAAGCAGACTTTTGAAATTCTAAATAGGATCCATTGCATGATTGGATGATTCCTACAAATATCATTAGGAGAGTTATAATCACTCATGTGGTACAAGTTGAACCTCTCTAGTCCAGCACCCTCGGGTCCTGACTGGTGCTGAACCAGAGAATGTGCCGAACCATAAGAGGTCAATATTGTCTAGTAGCATTATGAACACTTTCACTGCTTATTGGGCTCTTAGAGATGTTTAGGGGCAAGTTAGAGCTAAATAACAGCATAGAAGACTGAGAGTCAGGACTGGTGGCTGTAAACAAACTTTATGGGACCATGGTAAACTTGGCCATACCCATGATAAGTGGATATCCAGCTAACTAAAATCACCCCAGACCATGGATGTTGCCGGACCAGAGAGTACCAAATTAGAGAGGTTCAACCTGTATGTAGATCTTCAGGCATGCATGCTCTTTGTTCTACCTTCAAAAATTCTATAAGCAGAAGCTTCTGATTTTATTTTAACTCTGATTATTTTGAAAACAACTCTTTATGGCTTCCCTCTTTCCATGCCCCATAAACAAAAGAAAAAAGCCCATACAAATATGTTCTCGCTGTAAGGTTATAAAAGCAAATATGACATTAGACTTGAATGAGTCATGAACATGCTGCACAGAGGGTTTTTAATAGGTTTCTATTGTATTGCAACAGATCATTGGACATCCTTCATATGGTTTGGAAATTGGACCCCAGGTGCCTGTAATACCAGTGCAGCCTTCAATTGTTATGCCACCACCTTTGCAGTTGCAGCCTGAAATATTGCCTCCCTGCCTCGGGCCAGAAAATCTTTCACAACTTCATGGCAACCTTGCTGCAGCGAGTGCCACAATGCCCATAGATTATGGCCTGCCTCTTCAGCCTATTGGTCTTCTACAGCTTCAACCAGATCTTTCCCAGCCTCTGGGGCAGCAGGCTCCATATTCTGCTATCCAGTCGGTTACAGAATCAACTCAAGAGGTAGAACATTTTTTTCCTAAACGATTTTCCAATCTTGCTGCCTATCTCTTTTATAGATATATGATTGTTTCACAAAAGAAAAATTGTTTCACAAGAGACATGATCCTAGCACACTCTACGGCAACATTTAGCTTAGATTATATATTATTGGAAGAGCCGTCACCTTAGCAACTGGAAAATTACATATTATAGTTGGAAACCTCTGAAATGTGTCCTTAGAGTCATTCATGGGAATAAGCAGCCACCTGGGCAACTCAACTATCAAGCCCTCTCTTCATCCTCAGTTGAATGGGTATGCAAGTGTAGAAACTGGTAAAAAAAATTATACTTGTGGATTATGAGGTCATCTCACGTGGGTTAGTGCAGAAGCGTTCCATACAGCTCCATTCAAGGTGTTGTCCAGTCTTGTTTAAAAATGTCTCGTAAATGGGGCTTCCACCTCTTGCCTTGAGAAACTATTCCATACTCTGTCTAAAAGAGCTTCATAATGTTTAGCTTAAGTACTTCTTAGCAAAATATTTTTTGCACTGCCCTGAATTTCACTCTATTCCTGATGGATAAGAGTCTTCAAAATTTTGTCAGTATTATGTCCCTTCTTAGCAGTCATGTGGCTGAGTATATTTTGCTCTTGTCATCTTTCTTTGTAGTACAATTACGTTTTCCTGCTTGCTACTCATGGTTTTGGCTTTTCTTTGCATGATCTCACTCACCCGCTTCCAGGCATGACAATGTTTTATAGATGTATATTGCCTTCCCTTTAGTGCTGGAATGCATGCTATATGCAAAGCAAAGTTCGTTGGCATTTTGGCTGTTATCAGATTGCAAACCAGTGTCCCCTCCCAACCTGAAAACTCCCTGAGCACTATTGCTTTCCAGATTTCTCTCCTGCCTCAAGCAACTCTTTCAGAGCCTCCTCCCTTGAAGCAACAGCTTTCATCTTTCCAGGCTCAGTCTCTCTCCAGCTGCCAATTTGTGTTTCTGTCCTCACTGATATTTGCAGCTTCTTCCCAGTTTGGCACTGCACAGTCTTGAGAATTTCAGTAAGATACAATTATGCCCTTTTCCAGATCATCAGCACAAATGTTAACTAAGAATGAATGCACAGCCGAATGTCACAGTGCCTTCCTAGAGACCACCTCCAATGTCCATAAATGTCCATTGCTCCATCAAGCAGTGGACCTTAAGGATTTGAAGCACATGTGTTTCTTGTTAGAGAAATGAGCAGTTTGGAGACTTGCAGCGTTTCCTCTGGCTCAGTGCATTCACACAAGTCCTGGATCTCAACTGTGGGCAGCAGAATCAGTAAAACTGTGAAATTCCAACTGCAAAAAAATTCTCTAAAATCCCAAATGTATCCAGCACCACCCAGATTCTGGGTATTGCTGCTCCTACCCACTTTGGGTCCTGGCATCCGAACCAGGTCAGATGATGCTACTAAACCTGCAGTCCCAACACCACTCTGTGAGGTTTGAAATACGTGTAATGGGTACTGCTGTAGTGTAAAGATGTGGAGTACAAGCTTCTTGAGAGTGCTGAAATGGCACTAGAGACTCCTGAGGCATAAGGATAGCTCTGCTTTTTTATTATGTCCTTGAAAAACTCAGCCACGATTTCTCCCACTCATCCACACACAGCAGCTCTGGATAACTGCCGCCTTCATTCTCACTTCATGAGATCAGCTCTCTTGGTCCTCCACACGCCATATGATGGAGAAGAATGGTTTGGAGGGAAAATTTGCCCATTGATTCTTGAAGCTTAGGCTTGGAAGCCCAGTTGAGTGATTGTAAACACCCGCAGATGTCCTTGAACACTCCCTGCAATGTGCTCTCACCTGGAAAATCCCCATCCTAAAGCCACACTTGCCCTTATCACGTGGCTCCACTTTTCTACATGCAGGACACAGGTGAGCCCATGTGTTAGCTCAGATTGTCCATCTGCTATGCAAGACAAAGAAGCTCCTCATTTTGGTTGAACATAATCATTGTCCACTGGAGCTAGACTGCCTGTGAGTCCCCATCCACATAAGGGTCAAATTGATCTACATATCCCTTGATGACTGTGCTGATAACACATACTGTGAAATATTTTTGCTAAGGTTTTCTTAGGTATAACCCTTTTTAAGGAGAGTTTCATGTCAGAGTCCCATATTGTAAATTGAAACAATGTGTTTCATTACCATTTTGCCATAATATTGCCATCTGGCATTACCTTTTATTTAAATCCACATGACAGCGCTCATACACCTGGCAATTTTGATTTGTTCAGGCAAGTAAGATTGTGTAAAACACTTGATTGAGTGCATTACTGCAGTATGAATATGTTGTCTGTGATCTCATTGTTCATTCACTTTGTAATTCTGTTGAGGAAGCAGTGGGGTTTGGCACAATTGCTTTATAGACCCATGAGCAGTAACCACCATGAGCTTACAGATTTGTAACTTCACTGGGCAGATAGTGAACAGTCATACAGGATTCAGAGAGCTCTGGATTTGTCTGCATTGAGCCCTAGACTCTTTCTGTCCACACACACACATCAATCTGACTCAGGTCAGTGAGCAGTCATGACCCGAATCATTAAGGCCCAGACCCAGCAACTGTAAACCAGGTTTACAGTGGAGTGTGGATGTTCAATGCTGGCTTGGAAACACTTAAGTCTGCAAGCCTGAGATCCACTAGTCCAGGCTTATTCTGTGGTGCAGATATACAATTGGGGTGTGTCTAATCTACATGCCTCCGTCGACGGAGGCATGTAGTTTAGATGTACCCTTAGGCTTCATTTATACTACAACAGAAAGTCAACTAAAGTTACACATCTCCAGCTATGTGAATAATGTAGCTGGAGCTGATTTTCCTTAGGTCGAGTTAACATTGATCTCCCTCGCCCCACGATGTACAGTCTATGGGAGAAACTCTCCTGTCAGCTTCCCTTAATCTTCTCATCTGGGTTAGGGTAACAGGGTCAATCGAAGAGTGATCTGTGGTCAGTTTGACTCTTCATTAGACCCAATAAATCAACCACCGGTAGATCAGTCTCAAGTAGGGTTTCCATGTGTCCAATATTGACCCAGACAGTCCAGTATTTTTGCCTTCTGTCCAGTTAAAAATTCAGAAAATACCAGACACCTAAAATGTCTGGTATTTTCTGGGGGGTTTTTCCCTGCCAGGAGGCGAAAATACCAGACACCTGCCAACCCTACGACACACTCAGCAACTGGCCCCCTCTGGGTCCCTGCGGCTCCACAAAGAAGCTCCCTTCTGGCTCAACCAAGAAAACAAGATGGCCGCCGACAAAAAGCCTAAAGACCTGAGCAATGGGAAGCAATGCCTTCCTGGGTCTTAGTGCTCAACCTTTCCTCTTCCTGTACCTATTGGCTACGTCTACATTGGCATGATCTTGCGCAAATATACTTTAACGCAAGAGTTCTTGCGTTAAAGTCTTTAAACAAGAGAACGTCTACACTGGCAGGTGCCTTTGCGCAAGAGATGTGCTTTTGAGCAAGAGCATCTGTGCCAGTGTAGACACTCTCTTGCGCAAGAAAGCTCCGGTGGCCATTTTAAACATCGGGCTTTCTTGCGCAAGAAATTCATGTTGCCTGTCTACACTGGCCTCTTGCGCAAGAACAGTTGTGCAAGAGGGCTTATTCCTGAGCGGGAGCATCATAGTTCTTGCACAAGAAGCACTGATTTCACACATTAGAACGTCAATGTTCTTGCGCAAGAACTCCTCACCAGTATAGACAGGCAGCATGTTTTTGCGCAAAAGCGGCCGCTTTGGCGCAAGATCGCGCCAATGTAGACACAGCCATTCTGACTGCACGCACTTAAGGGGGCCATGCTGTTTTAATGCTGTTTTTATTTATTTATTTATTTATTTATTTTCTTAACACTTCTTGGGGTCTTTTTTTTTCCTCGCCCCTTTTTTTCTTCTCAACAGATTTCTCCCCCGCTTCCCCCCCAGTGTTTTTTTTTGGGGGGGAGGTGTTTGGTATTTTTGGTTAAATCATCTGGCAACCTTACTCTCAAGAATGTCAATGCAGGCTGTAGTTTAGATGTAACCTTAGAGTAACAGAGTTTAAGCCCAAAAGGGACAATCGTACCATCTGGTTTTACCCTGTTCTTGAATATGTGCCTATTTGACAAAACATCTTGCTGTAGCTACCATCAGTTGGAGTGCCAGAGGGCTCCAGCAACCATTGATGCTTTAAGCATCGTCTCATCTAACTGTTCAGAATTGGTCTGCACCACAACATGCTTAGAACCCTGATGAAACCTGGCATGGCGTCTGTGCAGCTGAACTAGTGATAGCAATAGTGAGGAATGGCTTTTAAAGGAAAATAGGGTTTTTTTGCAAAAGGCAGAAGAGGGTGGTGTGCAGCCCAGTGTGTCAGCGTTGCTTTTCTCCTTTATGCCAAATACATAATGCCCTTTTAAGATTAAGCAAAATAGGAATGTGAATGACTCGTCAACTAGTCCCTCCACCCCCTCCTCCTGCTGCCTCTATCAGAAAGAAGCAGCAAAGGGGGGGGGGAAGAGGGGATACTTCAAAGCGGCAGCCCCATGTAGAGCCCAGAGCCAGACCCTGGGCTCCATGTGGCACTGCTGCTTTGAAATTCCTCGTGGAGCTCGACGCTGGGCTCCCCACGGCATTTCAAAGCAGCAGCACTGCATGGAGCGCAGGGTCAGTGGGAGAATCCCCAGCTGACCCCAGGTTCCTAGCGGTGCTTTCACCTTTGAAGTGTAGCAACAGCTTTAGGGCTGTTGCTACACTTCAAAGGTGGAAGCGCCCTGTCGACTAATCGAATAATGGATGCAAAATGCATTGACTATTCGATTAGTCAATTACTTGCAATTTAACATCCCTAAAGTAAAATATACTGGAAATGTTGCTGCAGTATGTATTTCTTTACTGTAGGATACTGCATAAAAATAAAGTTAGGCCAAATTTTTAATCCATTTAAATAAAATCAGGTAGGTAATGACATCTGGATTCTAAATATACTAAAACTGTTCTGTTGCCACGAGCTCCTTTTTAAACTGCTGATTTATGTAAGACCTCTGTTTTCTGCTTTTCTTCTGCCAAGTGAGCAATGGGAAAACTAAATTATTAACAAACATTATTCCAAAAATGGGCATTAGTATCAGTACTTGTGCACAAACACCACCCATGTTTGCTTGTGCTATAAAAGAAATGTTAGCGACAAAAGCAATTTTAGATAGAAAATAATAATTTAGTGACAGTCCAAGTTCTGAGAATAAATTAAGCAAAATGGTGTGGGATTAAAATCTTGTTTTAAAAATATATCCTTCTAAATGCCCCAGAACTGCTCTTCTAAAAACTGTACAAAGTGTCAACTTTCTTCATATGCAAATACAATATATTAAATTTTGCCAAATATCACTATTTAAATTATTTCTTTTTGTATTTTAGGAGCATGCAATACAGGAAAAACAGCAGACACTAACACTGAGCTCTGAAAGGTATCCTTACAATCTCTCTAGCATGTGAAAATGTGTTATTTCTGGAAGTTGAAGCTCTGTTGGGGGATGTATTGAGGGGACAGGGTATAGGGTGGTAGTGCATGGACAGATTGGAGGTTTGGGGGAAGTAACAAGTTGCCTATGTGAAGTTTAGGTATTTGAGTTGGTCTGTCTTATCTGTATAGACTTTAAGGGCATGTCTACACAGCAGGGCTAATGCCAAAATAAGCTACGCAACTTGAGCTATGTCAATTGCATAGCTTAAATCAAAATAGCTTATTTCGGCTTTTGGTGCTGTCTACGCAGGAGGAAGTCTGGGAGAGAGCACTCTTCTTCCAACTATGCTTACTCCTCATACAATGAGGTTTACAGGAGTCGGAGTAAGAAGTCCTCCAGCTTGACAGTATTTTGACCCTAGGTCAAAATAACTGCATGTAGGACTATGTTATTTCGGAATAACGTCAATTATTCTGAAATAACACTGCAGTGTAGATGTTGCCTAAGTTCCTTGGGGCAGAGTCTGTGTCTTAAGCTTGGTCTACATATAACTATGGTGCTGCTGTTACTATTTTGGTTGGGTGCATAATTTTTTTTTTCTACCAAAGTAGGTAAAGTGACACTGTCCTAATGTGGGTACAGTTATATCAGCAGAAGTGTGCCCTATACCAGTAGGGGTTATTCCCTTTTCTGCCCAGCCATAGCTAATACCAGTATCAGGCACCTCTGTACTGATATATAAGTGCATCCGTGCTAGGGATGGACTCTCTTGCTTTAAGTATAGCAATATAGCAAAAATTGTGTCAATTTAATGTGTATGTGTATACTCTGTCTTAGCATGCTTAGCACAATCCAGGCTGGTGCCTTGAGGTACTACCATCATCATACTGCTGTTTGATGACTGACTGCCTTAATTAATGTTTTAATATCCAGACTTTATGTCCATTGGCCTGAGGGAGGAACCAGACTCCTGGGGCTGAAGCTCATGTTCCCCTTCAAACTACTGTTCTTTTAGGATTTGCCAAATGCAATCTTGTAGATGTATTTTTGTTCTGTATGTATGTGTGGCTCTGCTTCACCTCAAAACTGAATTGATTTCCAAAAGAACATATTTTCTAGATCTGGGGATGCCTGCCCTGAGTATTTCTACCCCACAAAAAAAGCCAGGGTGACACAAGAGGATAGAGTCCCAGAGCCTTAGAACTGCACCTGACTTGCAAGGAGTTTTCTGCTTTACAGGCTGAATGCCATTGGAGAAACCGTGAAGGCCCTAGGGAAGGGAAAGTAAACCCACTTTTCCCTTCATGCAGAAAAGTAGCATTTTTAAGGCTTCGGGGCACTAGCGCTGTGTCTGTTGGGTTTTTTTGGTGCTCTCCATTCTTTTTTCTGTTTCCTGGAAAGTAGAATTTACCTTTTTCTGGCTCTAGTAACTTTTCGTACTTATAATTCTTGAGTATGATTGAATTAGGCAAAGTGAGTTCACTCATGCCTAGTGAACATGCTATTCTAGTCTCTTCTAGGAAAGGACATCAAATATTTAGTGATTAATTTTTCTCAAATTTGTATTTGCCTCATTAGCTATGGTATTTGAAAAGCTAATTTTCCTAGCCATGGCAACATTCGGAGCTGCTTGCATCAGAACGCATCCCAAGGCAATATACTCTGAGGCACTCTCTCCATAGGGTGCACATATAACTCCCATTAACATTACAGTTTTGCTACACCTTCAAAGACTAAAAAACAAGTACAATGACCCTCAGCTGCATAACTTGTGTTCTTTATCTCATGTCACTCTTATGAGACCCTTCCTCTGCATCTCTGACTTAAAGTGATTATTTCTACAGAAGGCTGCGTATGCACCTTCCCCACTGGAGAGTAGAACTTGAATCATAGAACTGAAAGGTTCTATGAGAGGTCCTTTGAGTCCAGTCCCCTGCCCTGAAGAAGCATAATAAAATAAGTTTGGGGAGTAGAGGGCCCTTGCAGTTCAAAGACAGCCTATGAAGGCCCTGAAGAAAAGGGGCTATTCTCAGTAGCAATTAAGGCCTTGATTTCATTGTGCAAGGGACATCATGTACTTGCTTATGCTCAAGGGCCTTGCTGAATTAGGTCCAGCCATACTCCTCTCAAAATTTTTACTACAAAGCAAATCCCCTGTTTTCCTGTAGTCACTGTTTTTCTTCTTCTCTTTCCACATCTTCCTCCCATATGGTTGTTTTTTCCTTCCCTGTTACAAAGTTACATGAGTCCCGACATAGCTTCAGGCAAAGACATGAGCGACAGCTTTGAAGGAGCGATTGGTAGTGGAAAGCAAGAAGGGAAGCCTTCAAAGAAACATAAGAAATCTACACGCATTCGATCACGCCAGGAGAAGTCAAGCAGACCAAAGCTGACCATTCTAAATGCAAGTACAACCTCTTTGTTATAGGCTGAACTTCTGTTCTGGGATACACCAGAAATAATGAACTATGTTATTCTTTTCTTATAGGTATGTAACACAGGGGATAAGATGGTGGAATGTCAGCTGGAAACACACAATCACAAAATGGTGACTTTTAAATTTGATTTAGATGGTGATGCGCCGGAAGAAATTGCTATTTACATGGTAAGACCTTATTTGTGAAGGAACTTTCAAAAGACACTCACAATTTTTAGTTGCATAAACTGTGTTACATGCACACAGTGTGTTAAAAGACCATTACTGAGGTTAGAATCAAGCATTCAAAAGCAAGAGAATGCCAAAATTAAGATTGCTAGTTAAAATAGCATGAGATGATGCAATTAAAGCCTGTATCATAATGCATTATGCATGTTGCATGGGCAACCTCAATTCTGGCATTTCTGAACTACTGAGTGCTTGACTTGGCAACCTTAATAATGTTCTTTTAATATAGTTATTTCCTAGATTTTAAAAACAGCAAACTGAAAAATGAATTCCATCATGTGGTATCATGTTAAAACCTGCATGGTCACCTTTAGATTGACAACATAGATCTTTGCCACTTGGGTTATTAGAATAACTGGTAGCAGTAGTAGGCTGTCATCTTCCTTTATCTCAGCACTAGAGGAGTATGAGGGACACATTTTGCCAGTGGTTTTTCCGATATTTGCTAGCAGCAGGAGAATGCTGAGACTCAGGAATCTTGGGTTCCAGCCCAAACTCTAGACATAGCGTGCTCTAATGGACACAGACTTTTTAGCCACGAGTCCTCTCCACTCTGTCCTTTCTCCAATCCTGGCTATTCCCCAACCCTGACTTTTCATCCAAGTCCCAGTCTCCTTGTTTAGAAAAACTGACCGTTTTGGCTAAATTTTTCCAAAAGAGAGAGAGCTTGGAAAATTCAGCCCAATTCAGGCAGTTTGGGAAAGGTATCAACACTAAAAGCAGGAACTTTTTAATAGGAAGTGTCAGGCAACCTTAACAGCCGGTGCCACCTGTCCTGCTTGTTATCTGAAAAGTAAAGCCCCACCTGATTGTCCTGGACACTACAGGAAGAAGAAAAGACCCCAAAAATGTGTCTTATCCAGATCACAGCTTTCCTTAGTAACAAATTTGGAGAATATCAAGCAAGCATAGGCACTCCTTCCTACTTTAATCAGCCCCTCCCATTGTTCATCTGGCTGGGACCCCAGCACTGTCTCATCGCTGGAGGAATAAGAGGGTGCAGAAGAGGGGGTATCACCTTGCTCTACCAAAGATTTGGGACCCTGGCTTCTTTAGGAAATGCTTTCTCTTAATCCTCTTCCAGTTCTGGCTTATCAGGGGTCAGACCCCTGTTGAACAGTTAACTGCACTGGCTTCCTAACAGCTTGCAAAATATTTTACAACCAAACCTCCTACGCCACTGAGAGGGAGGCCCACAAGGCCAGTCGGGCAACAAGGAAGAATTTCTTCCCCAGCTGCAAAAAGGCAACTAGCAAGATGCCCCCAAAAAGACCCTAAATCCAGTGCTGCTCAAATCCCAGAGGGGGCATATGGGAAGGATGGTGCCCCAGAAGTGAGAAGAACTTATAAGCCCTCCCTTAAATGTATGAGCCCCTAGAGGCTTATGCCACACCCTGTGAAACCCTTCAGCCCCAGTGCCTTGCTCTGCATGCCCCTAAAAACAGCTGGTGGAGATGCTGTCCTTAAAAAGGCCGAGATTTTCCTCTCTTATGCTTGCCCCAACTAACCCTCCTCACGGCTGAGGTGGCATGATTTGGAAGACCTGTTCCTGTAATGTGCTCTGGCTTTGATCTGCCTGGATCATAGATGCAGTGAGCCTGATTTTTCAGGTAGGGGCTGAGCTTCCACAGTACCAAATGAAATCCATCGGACTGCAGGGCAGTAAGCTTCCCTACAAGCCATGTTGCAAGTATTTTGGAGGTGTGGAGCTCTGGGGAGCTATTTTATGTCTGTTTAGGTCTTTCTTTTGGGAGTTAAGAAACAAGGTGATGTGCCCTACAGGTACAAGGTGATTACTTTGCATCAAACCTGCCAGTCCCAGAGAAAGACTAATTTTTTTATGTGAGCAGTAATTCAGTTTGGCTAGAGGCCAAATAAGAATACAGTCTCTTTAGATTCTAGTTCCCATAAAGAATGGTACACATGCTATCTGTACACTTATGCAAACTTTCAGCTAGTTAAGACCATGCAATGAGTACTGACCGACAATCATTACAATGGTTAATCTTAATGTGCTCTTTACAGGTAGACAATGAATTCATATTGCAGACTGAGAAAGAGACATTCATTGAACAAATGAAGGATATTATAGATAAAGCAGAAGATATGCTCAGTGAAGATACTGAAGGAGAACGAAGTTCTGATCAGGGAACAAGTCCCCAGCAAGATGCCTATAGACTAGATATGAATGAAGTAAGAATCTTGTGTGTCCAGTATTGGTTTTAAATTAATAAATGGGGGTTTCTTTATATCAAATCTGATTTTTTTTCGTAATTTGGTTACTTTATTTTAAGTTAGTTGAGCAGAGGCTGTAAAACAAAGTTTTGCCACCTAAGTATTCCTTAGAAATATGTCCCTGCACTTCTGCTTGTCTAAAGAAAGATGTTTTTGTTTGTTTTCAACAGGAGAATCGGCAATCTCAAGTGAAAACCCCCATGTATCAACAGAATGGTAAAAGTGGTTTTGAATACAAATTTAATCTTGAACCCTCATTCAGCAAATAGGTAGTATTAGACTGTTCAGAAAGTTTAGCAGTCTCAATATATATTCCAGTCTCCTGTGACTGGTGAAGTTGTTCTGAAAATATAGTCCTGATAAAAGCCACAGTTGCCATTAGCAATTTTGAAATGCCATGGTTAAAACAGATGAAACAAGCATTTGGGTGCCTAGGAAATATATGAATTTTAGAAAATGGCGGTGATTCCACACTGCCTCCAAACTGGATGTGGGGTTGAGCAGGAAGAGACAAGTCTTTCATAAATGTATTTTTTTGTTCTCAACAATAACTAAGTTTGCAAGAGGAAGTTAACTGAGATTGGCTCTTCCAGCCTTAATATTTGCAGATACAATTGAATTTGATAACCAGGGTGTTTCAGCCACCTCTATCTTAACAGTGAGAAGTCTGACTCTTTTAGATGTGTGTGTGTGTGTGTGTTATTTCTTTCCCAGAGGAAAGGATGGCATCATTGTTGGCTTTCACTCCCTTTATAAACTGGAGAAAGGAATAAAACCACATGATGGGGAAGCCTCTTTTCCCAACTGTATCTCTTCATGTGTTGCACACGGCTCTATTTGCCCAAACACTTCACCGAGTTTGTGTGTGGAAAATCTCTCTGGGAGTTGCACAGCATGCTTCGGTGACTAAAAACAATGGTCTCCCTCCAAAACTAGGCTTTGTACACAGTCTGCCTGGCTCTTCTTAGACAGTTCACACTTGCTTGCCATTCTGAGAGTATACCGTTTGCATTTGTTGGTTTGTAGGCAGAATTTTGGAAACTGTGTAATTTGATACACGCAAATGAAGGGAGTACAAGTTCAAGATGAATGTAGGAGGGCAGTAGTAAAACAACACTACCTATATAGGAATTGTAGACAATGTAAGTTCCATAAAATATTACCAAAACTAATTTTTCTATTACAGAAACCTTCTATACAACAGAGTTAGTTCACTTGTAGCGTTAAGACAAACATCATTTAAATCTAAGGGAGTTGTTCCAGTAACTTTAGTGAGCTTTGGATCTGGCTTCGGATCCCACTCCAATACAGTCACTTGAAAGTCAGGGAACTTTTTCCATCCCAGGAAGATCACTTTTTGCTGTGAGAATCCAGTAGGAGCCATTATTATTAAACTCCATTAATACCATTGAGACTCGTGTCTCTTCCTAAAATGGGGCAGTTTCAGATTACATCAAAAATTAGTTTGATTTAGATCATATCTGGTTCTTAAAAAACTGCATAGAAGCTCAAAAACAAACTGTTAACCCTTTATTTTGCTCTTCACAATTAGTTTTACACACTGGAAAACGATGGTTTATTATATGCCCTGTTGTGGAAAACGAGACTGAGGAAGCACCAGAATTCCCCCCAGCAGTTCCTCAGAGTAAACAACCTGAAGGTCCAGGTACTTGTGAACTTTAAAGCTTTCATTTATCTAAGGGAGCAGGGGGGTGGATGATCAGCTGTGTCTACTTAGAGGCATCTGTGTCAGCTCTTTACTCACCCATGCTTTCATCAAGATTATTTTCTTTCAGCTGCAACATGGTGGGAGGCAGAGGGTGAAAAGCATTGTGTTAGTTGTTGCTTCATGAGCTGACCAGTGACTACCAAAGATATTAACACTGGCACTTTTAGTTCCCCTTTAATTACTTCCCTGCTCCTCAAACTGGTGTAGTCCACAACGCCTGTGTGTGAGTAACCAGATGGGCTAATCTTGCAAAGGAAGTACAATGGCTTGATTTTAGTTGTTAGCAAAGCTGTGTGGCCAAACAAATGCCTGTAATAAGTTTCTTCTTCTAAAAGCTATTCATAAATCATACATGGCATCTTAATTATCAGAAAAAATGATGCTTACTTTTCTGGTTTTCCTCTTCATCACCAGTCGCTTGGAGGCCACAGCCAAGGAGGGAATTGTTCAAGTGTGTGTCTGCCTTGGCTTAGGGCAGCATTTACCTTAGTTGTTCATCAACTATGGATTTTGGGATAGCAAGTTAGGGAGAACCACTGCAATACAGAATAGCATAGGAGCCTTGCCCCAAAGGGTTTTTGAACTTTTAAGAACTTTGTACAGGTGGGGGAATAAAGCCTGAAGTACTGGCCATATAATTTACAGGATTTTATTTATTAATCTCGATTTATCAGACTTCTGAAACACGTTCATAATGGCCAATGGAGTGCAATATGCTTCCTATTCAAAATGGATATATCAGATCCAGCATGGGAAGCTTTTCCATAAGATCACGCATGTGATCATATAGTTTTAAATAAAATATGGACAGTCTTTTGATTATGTAGAGAAAAGTCCCGGTGTTTTTCAACTCTGTTAAGAGTTAGGTATGAATTTAAGTTCTACTCAAAGCTGCCTGTATTAGGCTGAATCCTTTTAAAGAAATACTGCAATTTGAGGTTCTTATTTAAATATTGGGTTAGTAGCTTTCTAATAGAAAACATTTAATCAAGTTGAAACTGCTAAGAAATCTTGTGGTTACCTTATAATGGTTCATTCTGTATAGTCTGTGAAAGATGAAATTAGTGTCTTTACCTCTCTTTCTAATAGAAAACATTTAATCAAGTTAAAACTGCTAAGAAATCTTGTGGTTACTTTATAATGGTTCATTCTATATAGTCTGTGACAGATGAAATTAGTGTCTTTACCTCTTATAGAGCCGGAACAGTCGGAAGATCAGCAAATGAGCTCTGCAATGACAGACACACCTAGTGTCTTGTTTTGTCACCAGCTTCCTAGTCAAGCAAGCATATACGACAGCCCCTGTGGAACGCCAGGTCCTTTGGCACAAGCTCCCACCGCAGCATCTTCAGCTGTTTTGCAAACTAAACCAGAAATTTTAGCTGCAACACTACCGGGATCTGCTCCATATGTCCCAGAACAGTTTGTTGCTAATGTAGGTCAACCGGAATATCCTCCACTACAGCTGGTCATACCCAGTCAGCCTGACACTTGTGCCCACAATGCAGCTTCACTAGAGGAGCCTTCTGATGCTCAGCTTGTTCCAAAACCCTCCCTGCGAACGCTACAGCAGGTGGATGAAGGTGCTGGTGTTCCCGACGTGGAAATCTCATGCTATACTGTCAGGCCAGCCAGCTCGATTCTGACCGTTCCTGCACAAGAAGCAGAATTCGGTCCCGTTCCTGCTCCCTCCGATATGGTTTTGGAGCTCCAGCCTGCACCACAAATCCCCCATGTGTCAGAGGCCAGTCTGGCTGGTGTCACGCAGCATTCTTTGGGGACCCAGCTGCTTCCTCTAACTGTTGTGTCTGATTCCCTAACTCTGACAGGCTCTCAGCTTCAAAGTCCTCCCCAGCTCTCAGTTGCTGGGTCCCAGCAACATATAATGCTGACCCAGTCTCAGCCGGTCACCTGCACTGGCCTTGGCATTGGTCTGCTGCAGCAGCCTTGTGCGGTCGAGTCAGATGGAGAAGGGCCACCCAGAGTGGATTTTGCTGACAACACAATAAAAAGCCTTGATGAGAAACTGCGCAATTTACTGTACCAAGAGTGTGTTCCTACATCTTCTGCATCAGCAGGGACTCCAGACAGCTTCGTACCTTTAGAGCAGGGTGACAGTGAGGTTGCTAGCTTACCTCCTTTTAATGAAGAACCAATTCCCACGCTTGTATTGGATGTAAGAGAACCGGGCCTTAATGTTCCAGATGTCTGTCAGGAAGTTAATGCTGCTCAGGATCAGTTTGTGTCACATGTCCCTTCTGAAATGCCACCATATGTATTGGTTAGTCAGACTATGACTGTGCCTCTTCCATCCCTAAAGCCAGCAGCCACAGACGCTTCTGCCATGCTGAATAATGCTACAGCCGCTGGCCACAGCAGAACAGAGTCTAGCCTCAGAGAGCCAATGGTAGGATATGCAGATGCTATAAGCACTTCTGTATTGCTTGTTGTCCTATTCGCTTGCTTTCTGTCTCTGTTCTCTGTCTAGTGCTTTCCATAGGGCAGCACTGGTTTTTATTTTCAATTTGTCACATGTCGCAGGAATCAGAATACAAGTATTTCAGTAGCCATTCATTAGTGAAAACGAAACTTTGCTCTTGGGTTCAAAAATTAGTATAATCCTTTAATTCAGTCTTCTGCTTTTTATTTAAATCCTGTTTCTAAAGGAAGCGCTCTGTAAAAGATAAGTCGGGTGGTTTGAGAATGTTAAATATATTCATAATGGTGATAACTGAGCTTACTGCTTTTTGAGCATTTAGCTAAGCCTTGATAGGAGCAAGAGGGTGATGTCTGCCTGGTATCTGTACATTATTCTCTGTTCTTTGCTCATGCATAGAATGATATGCCTTCACTTACCAATGCTATGGAGATCGATCTCCTGGGGGTCGATTTAGCGGGTCTAATAAGGATGCATTAAATTGACCATTGATGGCACTACTGTCAACTCTGGTACTCCACCAAGTTGCGAGGTGTAAGGGGAGTCGATGGGAGAGTTTCTCCTTCAAGTCCCTGCAGTGGGGACATCACAGTAAGTTGAACTAAGATATGTCCACTCCAGCTATGCTATTCACCTAGCTGGAGTTGCTTACCTTAGTTTGACTTTGCCTCCTAGAGTAGACCTGACCCTAGAAATGTAAGGCTGGAAGGGACCACCATAAGTCATTACCTCCAGCCCTGTGACAGGACCAAATAAACCTAGACCATCCCTGACAGGTGTTTGTTCAATTTGCTTTTAAAGCTTCTGAGGAGGGCGATGCCAGGACCTCCCCTGAAAGCCTATTGCAGAGCTTAACTACCTTGTAGTTAACAAGCTTTTCCTAATATCTAACCTAAATCTCCTTGCTGCAGATGAAACCCATTACTCCTTGTCCTACTCTCAGGGGGCATGGCAAACAATTGGTCACCAATCTCCTTATAACATCCCTTCGTGAATTGGAAGACTAGTAGGTCGCCCCTTAATCTTCTTTTCTCAAGACTAACTTGCCCAGTTTTTTCAACCTTTCCTCGGAAGCCAGGTTTTCTAAATCCTTTGTTGTTTTTGTAGATCTCCTCTGAACTCCTTTTGTCCCAGGTTTTCTAAATCCTTTGTTGTTTTTGTTGATCTCCTCTGAACTCCTTCCTTTTTGTCTACATCCTTCCTAAATTGGGGTACTCAGCGTTGGACACGGTGCCCCTGGTGGGACCTCACCAGTGGCGAGTAGAGAGGGACCGTTATTTCCCATGTTTTTCACACAATGGGAAATACAAATCCTGGTAATACAAAATCATATCAGCCCTTTTAGAAGCTGCATCATATTGATGACTCATTTTCCATTTGTGGTCCACAATGAGCCCCAGATCCTTTACTACCATCTTGACAGTTCTTCTCTATTTTGTAGTTGTGAATTTGATTTTTTTTTTCCTTCTGCAGTGCAGTGCTTTGCGATGGTCTGTATTGAATTTCATCATGTTGAATTCAGAATAAGGATGTTAAATATCGAGTAATTTACTAGTCAAGTGGTTGATGGAATTTCCATCGACTACTCGACTAGTCGATAGGCACTTCCACATTCCCACCTCGCTGGGCTCCCCAGCTGATCTTAGGTTCTGCTCAGCATTTTCCCAGAACCCTGGGTCAGCTGGGGAAACCCCAGTAGGGTTTGAAATGCCATGCTGGAACCGGGGATCAGCTGGGGAGCCCAGTGGGGTGGGAATGTGGCAGTGCCTATCGAGTAGTCAATGGAAATTCCATCGACTACTCGACTAGTAAATTACTCGATATTTAACCCTAGGCTCCATGCGGTGCTGGCCCTTTGAAATGCTGCCTCGGCATTTCGAAGCAGCAGCACCGCATGTACGGTTTTCGTGTGGCGCTGCCGCTTTGAAGTACCCTGATCCCCCTCCCCTCTTTGCTGCCTCTATCTGATTGAAGCAGCAAGGGGAGGGGATCGACTAGTTGACTCGACTATCTGATAAGCATTTGCTTATCGGATAGTGAACTAGTCGACTAGTCCTTAACATCCTTAATTCAGACCAGTACTCCAATTTTTCGAGATCATTTTGCATCTGTTCTTTTAAATGGACTGCCTGCCCTCCAACACTTCTGCCCACTTCTTTTTCAGTGAATGTAGTTACTAGCAATAGGGTTGTAACAGAAACGCCAGATTTATAGGTGAACTGGAACTGAGAAGCTATGTATAACTTAACTAGAATCAGGTGTGTCATTGTGCCCCATAAATATAAATGTGCTTAGTACCATATTCATTATCCTGCTACTAAAACTGATAAATATCTTTCCTTTCCTTTCATTGTGTCCCTGTGACTAATTCTATGATATCTAGCAGACTGCTAACATACTTTGGGTCCTGAACATGGCCTATGGTGCCATCGCTTTAAAAGTGCACAGGCCACAGAACTGGCTTGCCTGCCAGTTCTGTAGTTTTCATTTGAAGTGGTGACATTTGTACAGAGCATCATAACTACCTTCTTAAATTTGTTTTCATTTAAAACCCTCTTTAACCATATAGTGGGCATTCACTTTGCTAGTGCTCTGTAGCATAAAGCTTGTCCCAATTTTAGATGTGATCTTGCCTCTTTTAATGAGCTCGGCAGGAGAAGGCCATGTCACCACTTGATTGGCAGACTACTGTGGAAAAGCCCAAAGGCTGCAAGGTGCCCGTGACCTTGTAGGCTATTTAAATCATTAATGCTTCAGTGTCCCAGCAAAGGACCCTGTGCAGGAAAAGGTCCATTTATTCAGATGAGACGCTGAGGCCATGAAACCTGGACCTGTGGGGCACCACTAAGAGGGTCTATTCAGGGCAAATTGCTTAAAACCAGGGTTACTTACAGACCCAGACTGGGGTTCTCCTCTAAGACACCAAACCAGTCACATAGAGCACTTCAGCTGCCACCCTAGCCAGCAAGAAGTCTCACAAGAAAAACCCCTTAGACGCCCCAGTGTTCCCTGTGCCACAACCAGCGCCACACTTTACACAGGTGAGAGGTTATAAAAACCAATCTCACCAACTCCAAACAGGTTATCCCAGTCCCGAAGGACCAACCACAGTCCCTGGTCAGTTTACACCTCAGATCTTACACAAAAGAGCATGCTGTGCCAGTCCTTTAGAATCTAAAATCTAAAGGTTTATTAATAAAAGAAAGAAAAGATTGAGAGTGACATACATAAAGAGAATACATGGCCAAGCTCTTGATGCCAGCTCTTAGCACAGATGTAACAAACTGCCAGCGTAAAAGTCTCTAGAGTGCATCCTATGTCAGAATGCATCAATATATGCTTCTGGGCCCTCTGTCCTTACCACTTGTGCTTCTGGAGCGGAGGGCAGTAGTGAAGACAAGATGGAGGCACCCTCATGATACTTTTATAATCTTGCCCATGCGGAGGGAAACCCCATTCCTCTTCTGGGGGCTGGTGCTTCCCAAAATGGGCTTGATCACATGACCCACAAACCAGTTTCTGTCCTTCTTAGGCAAGGAGTCCTGTAGTTCCCGGGTGTGCCTTTCTCAGGCCAGGAGCCATTGTGTGTTCCTCAGGTGTCAATTGGCAACCCTTAAAAGTCATTGTCCATACAGCATCAAGCAACCATCCCTCACAGTAGAAAACATTTAAAACACAAATAGAAACTCCATATTCATAACTTTACACACACAGATTGTATAGACACATGTATAGACAGTCAACATACAATAAGCTTTTATTTGATACCTCACATGGCCCATCTTACACAGAATTTGGTGCAAACACCCACCAGTGTGTGCAACAATGATCTGCCTGCTCACATTAAAATCCAATCATGTGACAGGCCCATAGAATATGACTTAAGATTTCCAAAGGGGTTCCACAACTCTTGTTTAATTTTTTTTAAAGGTCCACAAATGAAAAAGGTTGAAACCCACTGCTCTAGGATCATAGTAAATTCCATAGCTCTTTCTCCTAGATCAGAGATGTTTAACCTATTTAAAGCAGCATTCTGGAGTTAGTTATATTCCTCAACCAAAAATAAAGCTCCCCACTTCATATAGTTTCAATTGAATTCACTGTACAACACATTAAAAACATGCCATGCTTCAACCGAGAGTGCTGGTATATTATTAAAGCAGTTTCTCTGTAGAGGGGATTATAAATAACATTGTAATATTGAGAAGTCCCAATTAGATTATGTGCCATGGAATAGAACAGATACATTAACATCTTGGTATTGCAACATATTTTTCATAGAAATTATATATATATATTAGGATGTAATCTGGTTGCAAAAGCACAAGTCTCACGAGAAGTGTGCACTTGAATAGCTAAACTTGGTGAATATTTTAAAGTGTTCCATATTATCAAGTCTTACTCCTCTTTCACCCTCCCAGGGAAAAAAATGGCTGAAAAAGATGGGAGGCGAATTTTGCTAGGAATGTAAAATAGTTATTCCTATACGACAGCAGTTTTCAGACTGGGCCAAGACTCCATAGTGAGTCTTGATCCTCTTTGAATGGGGTCACCAGGGCTGGCTTAGACTTGCTGAAGCTCATCCACTGCCCAGGGATGAAGCCAAAGCCTGAGAACTTCAGCTCTTGGTGGTGGGGCTCAGTAGGGGCTGCAGCCCTTCAGCTTCAGCTTTGGCCCCTTGTCTGGAGTGGTGGGGTTTGGGCTTTGCCCTCACACACACTGAGGACAGTGGGGGCTTGGATGGGCTTGGGCTTCAGTTTCCCTCCTGAGATCACAAAGTAATTTTTGTGGTCAGAAGGGGGTGGCGGTGCAATGAACTTTGAGAGCCCTTGCTCTGTGAAATAACTGTGCTAAGAGATGCTATAAATCTGAAGCACGTTGCAGAGACAGAGACTGTCTATTGGCTCCCCTGTTTGGGGGGGTGCTACACTGAAATTAACTTCTATATTTTGTTTCCTTTTACTTCAAGTTGGAAAAGTCCGAAACGACCAGCGTCAGTGTCAGCTCGTCAGAGGCAAGAGGTAGGTCAGTGAACAGAAAAGGTAGTTACCTACGACCGCTAGTTGGAAGGGCCAACGTCAATGTGTTTTCTGTCCTGTCCGGTGGCCTCTTTGCTCGCACACCCTTTGTTACCAACTCTCTTTGGGAAACTTTCCCAACAGCACCCAGCCCAATGGAGGCCTGACCCTGATTTGGGCTGCTAGGTGCAATCAGAAAACAAATAACAAATCTGACACCACATATTCCCGCTGCTTTTGTCAAAGCTCACAAGAAACCAATGGGGCCGACAGCCTGGCCGGGCCCCTGGGCAAGGCAAAGGTGGGGCAACTCTGAACCCCGGGAAGGGGCGGGGCCTTGGGAAGAAGGGGCAGGACTGGGGCTAGTTTTTCCCAGGAAGCCCTTCATGCTGCCTGGAGGGTACCACGTGGGGCTCCAGTGGTGATTTAAAGGTTCTGGGGCTCCAGCCATCACTATTGCTGCAGTAGCAGCGGCAGCAGCTGGAAGTCCCGGGCCCTTTTAAATGGCCGGGCCCCTGAGGCTGCTGCCTCCTTTAATCTTCTGCTGGTGGGCCTGCAAGAAAAAGACTGTCTCATGGACAGAATTAAACATCTTCTCTCATCCAACAATATCAGAATTTCTTAAAGGCCTCCTGCATAGTTGCTCTTTGGTTAGAGACCTAACTTCCATATGGAGAACTCAACACTGTCCTCCTAAAACTCATGGAACCTCCTTCTGAACCACTGTCGGAACACTCGGTACTAGAGACCAAAAATATTTCTGGGCAAGGAAGGGGGTGGATCCATGCTCCTGGAGGGTGTAGGGCCTGAGATTGAAGGGACAGGACTTGGACTGTGCCACACCCCTCCCAATCCAACCCTTAGCGCTGCCCAGAGCACGCAGCCTGAGGGTCCAGCTGCTGCCACTGCCTCAGAATTAGCAGCAGGAGCTCCAGGCGCTTTTGAATCACCAGGCCCTGAGGCAGTTGCCCCCTTTTGTCCAACTCTCCACCCCCATTGGCAGGCCTGGTTGGTACACTTACCATCAAGATGGATTTTCTGGTTCCTGTCATTATGGCTCTAAGCCTTTGTAGCTCTTATTCCTATTTCCACAGGAACAAGATGGTGTTGAAACTATACCCCATGTTCTACTCTCAGGGGGTTTCCAAATTCCTCCTGAATCAATGAATTACCTTGCTAGTCTTCTTTCCAAATTTCACTCAATGCCAGGAGAAAGGACACGTCCTGAGCATTTTTCTGTTACTTTAACGAGACTAAGCCCTTGAGGCAGTCACACCGTCTCATTGTGACTATATCCAGTCCGTTGAAATACCAAGCCCTCTCACCAGAGAGAATCTCCAAATGCCTTCAAATGGCTGATGACCCTTTCCATCCAATCATCAGTGTATAAGCAACATCTTCCAGCTTCTGAAATCATTCAGCATGGAACAACCCACTGACTCCCATGAAACATTTCCCCATGACTTGACAGTTGGGTGAGAGGCCAGTTCTTCAATTGACATTTGACTGATACAGCTACAACTCCTTACTCCCTCTGCCCGGGCAATTCTGCTCATCAGTGGCCTATGGAGGAACCCACACTGACCACATGCAAAAAAAAGGACAATTACTTACCCTACAGTAGCCATGGTTCTTTTTCTTCAAGAGATGTTCCTGGGGGTGCTCCACAGTAGGTGTAGGTGCGTTCCAGCATGTCATAGCAGATTTTTGATAGCAGTGCATTGGGGCTATGCATGCGCAGTGCGCGCGGGCCCTTCCCACCACCTCCCCCCCGGTACCATCCCGCATGTGCGGTCACCCTCCCTTCAGTTCCTTTTTACCACCCCCGGCTTCAGACGGACCTCCACAGTGCTCCTCGTTCCTCAGCTGTTCTGAAGATAATTAGATAGATTAGTTCATTCCAAGTTCTTCTCCCTTGTAGTTGTTAATGTTTAAAAAAGAAATAATCCATGCCGTCCGCCTCAGGCTTCCTTGGACAAGGGATAACATTGCCGTGAGATGGGCTCACCCAGCTTCAAATGCTGTGCAGACTGCAACGATGCTATGCTGGCCTCAGATGGCCATGGCAAGTGTGTTAAGTGCCTCCAGCACTCACACTCCCAACAGGACTGCCCGCACTGTGCCCACAGAGAACTCTGCTTGAAAATGATTTTAACAGAGAAGGGCAAACATCCTTCCTCAGATCCTGGCTCCGGGCAGACCCCCAAAGCCATAGGGGATAAACCTCCGAAGTCCTCAAAGAAATGGGCTACCTCACTACCGCATCACTCGCACTTGCCTAAATGGCGATCGATTGAAAGGCAGTCAGTTAATTCTGACAAGCCGCGCCTCAGCCCCTACGATAGACCGGGTACTTCAGGCACACTGTGCCGCCATCATAAAAGCGCCACAGAGAGCGCCCAAGCAGAGGCGACAGGCTGCACCGTGCCTGCCTCTCAAAGCCTGGTACCGAGCACGACGCCAACTACCACTGTGCCAAGTTCAATGGCGTGCCAAGCGGTTACCATGACACCGCAGCAGCTGACAGGGCAGCTGCACGGTACCATCCTTCCCTCCTTGCTGCCCATATCAACTCCCTACGCTGCGTGCTCTGCTCCTCTGGTGCCACAGGCACTATCATCTTCCATAACAACAAAACTTTCAGCACCTCACGCTCCTACCATTAGCTATGGGGAGCACAGAGACCTAGCGATCACTTCTACCCTAAATTCTCCATTTTTGAGTGATGACAAACAACCTCATTCACCACTATCTAATTACACAGCATCACCCTCCTCTCATCAACTGATGGGGATGACGACTTAGTGGTTTTCTCACCGCAGCTATCTCCAAGTACAGAGGCATCAGGACTGTCATTTAATTCTGGCCAGCCTGACTTCACCAGAGCAGCCATGGCTCCCTGGGCACCATATCTATGGACACCACCACCAATGCCCTACTCCCCACCCCCATGGCAATTGTGGAACCCATGGCCTCAACAACACAAGAAGAGACCACGCAAAATCAAAAACACGGCAAAAGCTCTCTCTCCCCTAACCCAATAACCTCAAACGGGAAGGGAGGGTGAAATGAAACTGACAAACATCACTCCCTGAATTCGGGTCCAGGGGTATTACTAGACACAAACTCACCGTCCGGTACAGACAAGGCCATCATGCCACCTTCCTCCACAACCACCAAGGACTTCTCCTCTTTTCAGGATCTCTTTCAAAGAGTTGCAACCGATTTAAACGTTTCCATGGAGGAAGTGCAGGACTTTGTGGCAAACATCTGCCTCAATCCCACCTACCTGTAAAAAGGCAAGTATTATGTTCCACCTAAGGGTTCAGAATTTCTGTTCCCTCACCCACTACCAAACTCACTGGTAGTGCATGCGGCTCAGCAGAGGAATAAGCAACAAAACCATTCCACGCCATCCGACAAGGACAATAAGAGACTTGACTCACTCAGGAAGAAAGTGTATGCATCAGCTACGCTACAAATGAGAGTAGCTAACTATACCATACTTCTCAGCAAGTACGATTTCAATAATTATGCAGAGTTCAGCACCTTTATTGATGATATACCAGACAATAAGAAGGTACAATTCAGAGTGATTGTCTCAAAGGGCCAGGCAATATTTACATTACAATTCAGAGTGATTGTCTCAAAGGGCCAGGCAATATTACATACAGCCCTTTAGGCTGCCTTGGACGCAGCTGATACGGCTACAAGAACAACAGTCACTGCAATTGTCATGCAATGATCCTTATGGTTCAATTCATCTGCCTTCCCTTGAGAAATCCAACCATCAGTAGAAGACCTGCCATTTGAGGGAGAGCAGCTCTTCTCATCAAAAACCAGTGAGGTCTTCCACTCAGTGAAAAACTCCAGGGAGACTTGCTCCCTGGGAATCCAGACACCTATAATAAGGAGAAGACAGTACAGATATCAGCCATACCAAAGGCCAAGATAACCACAACCTACATACCACTACCAAAGGCAAGACCACCCACCATACCAGCAATGTGGCTGTAGTAGACAATAACGTCATCAACCCAAACTAATATGTCCAACCACCCATCCCAACCAAATAAGCAAATTTGAGCCATTTGTCAAGAGACTGAAAACCATACTACCTCCTCCAGAGTTCCCAAATACAACCAAACCCTTCAATTATCGCTTGCTGCCATTTCTTAACAAATGGCACACCATCACATCTGACAAGTGGGTGATACAGACAATCTCTTTTGGATACACTATCCCTTTCCTCTCTCTCCACCTACCCCATCCCTCTTCATGGACCCCTCTCATGAGATCATACTTCAGCAAGAGGTGGATCACTTGCTACAGCTAGGAGCCATAGAACCAGTCCTGCCAGAGTTTCACAGGGTTTGCTTTACACATTGGGCAGCCTCCCACAATATATCACCGCAGTATGCCCCACTCCCTGCAATCTTAGATTACCTACTGCATCTCAAGCATTCACAACTTTCCCTGAGCTCAATCAGAGTCCATCTGGCAGCAATAACAACCTTCCACATGCTAGTTGACGACACCACAGTGTTTGCATATCCAGTAACTAAGCGCTTCCTAAAAGGCCTACAGGCCCTATACCCCGACATTAATGTTCCTTGGGAACCATGGAATCTACACCTGGTACTGGCAATACTCACGAAACCTCCATTTGAACCAATGGCCATGTGCTCTCTACTCCACCTAATCCTAAAAACAGCATTCCTAGTTGCAATAACTTCAACACATAGAGTGGGTGCGATGGCCACCCTAATGACTGACCCACTGTTTACCATCTTTTTTAAGGATAAAGTCTCGCTGCATCCACACCCTAAGTTCTTACCAAAGGTGCGCTCCCCCTTTCATTTAAACCAAACTATACACTTACCTGTATTCTTCCCAAAGCCTCACGCCAACACCTTCGAGGCACAGACGCATACCCTTGATGTTAGAAGGGCGCTCTCCTTCTATATCCACAGAACAAACTCCTTGAGATTATCTCCACGATTCTTCATTTCCATTGCTGATCGCAACAAGGGAAGCCAGATATCATCACACACAGATTATCTCATTGGATCTCCAACTGCATTGCTCTATGCTACTCGCCCAACCATTTACCACCACCTATATCAATATGGGCACATTCAACTAGAGCGGTCACCACCTCAGTCGCTTACCTCAGGAAGGTTCCCATCGATAACATATGTGCTGTTGCCACATGGGCATCAGAACATACCTTCGCGAAGCACTATGCACTTTCCTCTGGACCTCTCCACTATACAAGAAAAGCAAAAGCCATACTGCAAACAGCTTACCTACCTGATCCGAAGTCCCTGCCTCCTTAACACAAATTGCTTTTCAGTCACCTACTGTGGAGCACCCCCAGGGACATCTCTTGAAGAAGAAGGAGAAGAGGAGGTTACTCACCTTCCTATAACTGACATACTTTGAGATGAGCGTCCCTGGGGGTGCTCCACTAACCTCCCTTCCTCCCCTCTACTTTGGGGGGGAAAAGAAGCTGTTCTCCTACGCCGGGTTCCAGATAGAGAAGGAACTGAAGGGAGGGTGGCTGTGCATGCACAGTGGTACTGGGGACCATATGCACTGCACAGCCCCAAAGCCCTGCTATCAAAAATCTGCTCTGAGGCACTGGGATGCACCTGCACCTGCACCTACACCTACTGTGGAGCACCCCTAGGGAAGCTTATATCAAAGAACGTCAATTACAGGAAGGTGAGTAACCTCCTCCTCTTGGAGACGTCATCAGTGTGGATCTGTGAATCCCACAGTGTGCCCTTCATCGCAGGCCTTGAATTGTGAGGGAGCTGAGGAAGGGTTGGGGCTGCTCCACCATCTAGGTCCTCACTCAAGGAGACACAAGACACATGCATGGCCCTGATGCACTGCATTTAAAAAAATGTGCGAGAGGCGTGTGTGCACCTGCAGTGGATTTACCCTGATGACTGCATCTCAAAGAACCCCATCGCAATAGAGAATTCCTTCCTAACTTAAATACTAAGGAGGCCTGATGCTGTTCGTAGAATGCTGTAAATCATCAGAAATTTCAGTTGCACCAGTCTGAAACCAGGAAGAGAAGAGAATTTTGTCCTAAGTTTACCTGGGGATGTAAAAGAGTAGTCAAATGTCGACTACCCAATAAGCCTAGGCTGATCGGCTATCGAGTCGCAATAGAGAATTCCTTCCTAACTTAAATACTAAGGAGGCCTGATGCTGTTCGTAGAATGCTGTAAATCATCAGAAATTTCAGTTGCACCAGTCTGAAACCAGGAAGAGAAGAGAATTTTGTCCTAAGTTTACCTGGGGATGTAAAAGAGTAGTCAAATGTCGACTACCCAATAAGCCTAGGCTGATCGGCTATCGAGTCGACTACTCGCATTCTCCCCCCCCCCCCCCCCACCCACCACCC